ATATATATATATATATATATATATATATATATATATATATATATATATATATATATATATATATAATGCAGAATAGTAGTATATGAAGCTACAGATCTAATATCACTTAATTTTATTTCATATTATTTGTTTATATCTCAAGCTATATCAGCGATATAAATCGTCAAAATTTTGTGGAATAACCTACATAAATTACATCATGATTTTATTGCGACAAACTAAAAATTTTACTTACTTGCATCGGAGTTTGATAACAATATTGTTAATTTAATGATGCCTGTTTCAATTAACGCATCGAGTTCTTTCTGCATATCACGAACTACTTTAGCATCCGGAAATAAATCCATGAAACGATAGCTGCAATATAAAAATTATAAAAAGACAAATAAAAAAATGCTAAAATAAGAATATAATTATATCTTATTATACCTTAACCATAGGTAAAGATCCAGGACGTCAAATACGCCTTCCAGATGAACGAGATCGAGAATAGTTTTTGGTGTTGCAAATGGCCATCCAATATGTTGACATAACCAATTGAATGTTATTGCATCATTTTTGCTATATTGCCGTGCAAACTAGAAATATATATTATATATTTTATGTTATATAATAAATAAAATGAATGATAATGATAATAATAATAATACTTCAGTAATAATAACGTTGTATATGTATATATGTGTGTGTAGACGTGTATATTTATTATATATAAATCTATTGGGAGTACAAATTAGTTCGGTCCGTTTTCAAAAGATAGCTCTGGCTGTTATGAATGTTTCATAGTGACAGCTGATTTCGGTGGTTTCAGAGAGGTTAGACATCTGTCAATAATATTCAGTTTATATCGTTTTGAGTTTCATACAAAACCCCTGGTTTTTTACTGTGTTGAATATGTCAAATTTTGTGTTAACTAAGCAGCATTTGCGGGAGGTTTTAGTTTTCTGCTTTAATTGGAAGAAAAGTGCAGCTAAAGCGCATCGAATGCTTGTAGAAGTTTATGGTGACAATGCTTCAACTGATAAATCATGTAGGGAATGGTTTCGACGTTTCAAGAATGGTGATTTCAGCGTTGAAGACAAGCCTCGCTTTGGACAGCCAAAAAAATTCGAAGACAAAGAATTGGAAGCATTACTCGATGAAGATCCGAGTCAAACGCAAGAGGAGCTTGCAGAATCATTAGGAGTTGATTCGTTTGAGCCGTGCATTACGAAAAAAACGGCCGGAATACGAACAAAAACATGACAAAGTTATTCTTCTGCATGATAACGCTCGGCCTAATGTCGCAAAAGTTGTAAAAAATTATTTGGAAACGCTCAAGTGGGATATTTTACCGCACCCGCCGGACATTGCTCCTTCTGATTACTGGTTATCCCGACGGATGCAGCACAATTTGGTAGGTCACCGGTTCACTTCTTTCGCAGAAATCGAAAATTGGCTCCTAACTTGGATCGCCTCAAAAGACGAGACATTTTTTCGAGATGAAATTCGAAAATTGCCTGAGAGGTGGGAAAAAGTAGTAGCCAGCGATGGACAATACTTTGATTAATCTGTTCATTCATTTTGTTCTGAAATAAATGCATTTTGACCACAAAAAACGGACCGAACTAATTTGTACTCCCAATAAATACAAAATTCCAAAAAATATAAAACAAATTTTATTAAAAATCAATACAAGGAGTACCTTCACTAATTCTAAATTATTAAAAAATATATTTTTAAGCATCTATATAGCTGAAACTTTACTGTACCTTGAGGAACATAGTGCACACGTACGCTAATTTTCTGTTAATCGGTGCGCAACAAAACACATATCTCGCTCGGAGAGGCAAAGGAACGTGCTGTATCATATCAGCTAGGAACTTAAAATCGTCCAAATTGCACATAAAATAAAGAGAATTATCAACTGTGCACAATGACACGAAGATATCCTAAAATATACAAAGTATTACAAACGGCACAATATCTACAAACAATTTTTGATAACTGTAGGACTCACCATGAGATTAGACAATGGTGAGTTTGGTAAATGATAAGCGTATAACTCGATTTGATCTGCCGTTGGGTGAAGACCTGCTTGGGTTATTATTTCCGGTGTTTGACCTAGTAGATGTTTTAAAGTAGGTAAATCCTCTCGTTTAAACGTCGTTACGTAACCCTATGATGCAAAAATGTATTTCCATCCATTTAAGCAACATTTATTTTTGTATTGTAATATACTACATTAATCATAAATAATATTAATATGATATAAAAAGTTGGAAACATCATTACCGTAGTCCACATTGTGCCGTAACGTCCAGCGCGACCTGCTATTTGTAGAGCTGCTGACACAGATATAACATCCATTTCTTTTTCACCTTTTTCGTTTATTGTTGGTTGAATCAATGAGTAAAATATAATCCTCCGAATATGTCTGTAAAAATATATAATTTATTTTAGGTAGTAATTTCTCTAACATTTTTTTAACGTGTATATTTATATCGTCTAGAACTTTAAAATATGAAGTATGTGCAATGCTAAATTTAATGTAACGTATATATAGCAAGAAATTTACAAGTTCAAACCCATTCCGATCGCATTGGTTGCTACTAAAACCTTGCAAGAATTCTTAGGATCATTAAATTTTGCAGCTTGTGCCAGTTTTGTACCAGGTGGTAGACTGCCATATATTACCGCCACTTCTATTCCTCTGCTCTCGAGAGAACGTGAAACGGTAAATATATCATTCTTGTTAAAGCAGACTATACAATCTCCTGGTTGAACGTTATTTAGAGAAACAAGTGCCTGATTCTCTAGTTCCAGCTGTGTTAATCGTTTATACCTGCGAACTTCCACATTTTCGCCCGCTGAGAAGCATATAGCTTTTACCTGTACATATATACATACATATATACAAACATACATATACAAATATATATATATAGCAAAAGAGTATAGCAAAAGTACCGGAACAGCAAAATAACTCGGCGGGGGAGCATTTTAGAGAAAAATGTTTCAGACAAAAGTTGTAAGACTTAAAAAAACGCATTCAACGATAGTAGTTATTTGACATAGGATGACGTCGCCAAGGTCAGAACAAGGTCAACTTTGCTTTTTTAAATAGAAACACATATTTTTTATTACAGCATTTTATTCGTAAAAACGCAAACAACTTTTGCTTGAAAAAATTTTTTATACGTCCTCTATTTTCTAAGATATTTACGTAAATATCTACAAGATTATTGGCTTCAATAATTTTTTACTTGAATTCTATTAACTTTAGCGGAAAATATAGAGATAAAAATTGTATATTTTGTTCTCATAGAGCTATGAGAATTTTTTCAGAATTTTATATTAACTTTTTAGTACTTCATTTTCTTACATTTTCTGGAAGTACTAAAAAGTTAACACAAAATTCTGAAAAAATTCACAGAGCTCTATGAAAACAAAATAAGCAATTTTTATTTCTTGATATTTTTTGGTAAAGTTGATAGAATTCAAGTAAAAAATTATTGAAATCAGTAATCTTGTATATATTTACGTAAATATCTTAAAAAATAGAGGTCGTATAAAACATTTTTTCAAGCAAAAGTTGTTTGCGTTTTTACGTTGAATAAAATGCCGTAATAAAAAATATGTGTTTCTATTTAAA